TGATGGACACGAGAAAGACGATATTGGGACCTGGCCACCTTGATACGCTGATTAGCATGGGCAACCTAGCTTCGACGTACCTGAATCAGGGGCAGTGGAAAGAGGCGGAATCACTACATGTCCAGGTGCTGGAAACGACGAAGGCGGTATTAGGGCCGGACCACCCCTATACGCTGACTAGCATGGACAACCTGGCTTCAACGTACCATAAACAGGGGCGGTTGAAAGAGGCTGAGTCCCTAGAGGTACAGGCGATGGAGAAGAAGAAGACGGTGCTGGGGCCGAACCACCCTCATACGCTGGCTAACCTACATAATCTGGCGTTTATATGGCACAGCCAAGGACGCGTTCAAGATGCAGTCGACCTAATGAACCAGTGCCACCAGGCGCAACTTCGAGTCCTAGGACCAGAGCACCACTATACTAAATCATCGCTGCAGATAATACAGGTATGGCGTGAGCAAGAGCCGCAACTTGAGGCCGTCGTCGAAGGCTAGCCGTGAGGGCCAGTTCATTGTCGGAGATGGTGTGGATAATAGGACGAGAAGATGGGCGAGGTCACGAAAATTGTACTAAAGGTATGTGTGACCGATGGACGATTTGTACGTTTGGACAAGCCGATTGACCAACACTGAGTAACTTAAGTCGTGAAGCAGAATCGAGCCGGGCGATTTACATGCCTTATTTTCTCCTTACTATCGCATCTATACCCGCCCGAGCTCTTTGTGAACTTGGGTACACTGGCGACGTAATCCTGGGCTAGCTCGAGAAGTTCCCGAGTAGGAATGGCGACGGGACATTTGGCCCCTGGAGCCGAATTTGACGCGGTATAACTTGCGAGTTGGGAGTGCAAGCGCGAATGGCCCGAATAGGTTCTCCGTTGAGGCAGCGTGGGATAACCCTTTGATGCCTGCTACGGACGGGCGGGAACCCAAAGTGTGTGGAACGCATCTCATGGCCTCCAGAAACATGCTTAAGTTTGTACATGTGGGTTGCTCTGATACACGAACCAGGAAAGGGGGAGAAATCATGCCCCTATTGAGCGTCGGCCTGTCTAGAAGACGCAGGAGCTTAAGCTATCTTTATAGCAAGTCGTCAGCGAGACCACGTAATATAGGGGCCCCATCATTTCGCCAGTAAGCTCTTGGTGGACGGAGACGGGGATCTGACTTGGATTAATCATATGAATGCGCTTCTAAACTTAACAGAATCCAATTATTATAGTCTTATCATCTACTGACTAGGTATGTAGTATTAAATTTTGGTTTATAACGTAAGGCAATCTGCCCGCTATCAGCATCATATATCAGACCACGGCAAGCCACGACGCGGCGAAAGGATAAAAAGCCCGGAACAAAAGTACCAGCGCTGCCCAGATGCGCGCACAGCATTCGCCTTACTCGGCTTCCTCGCCTTGATCCGGATCGGCTTCTTCCTCCTCGTCAACCGTTGCTTCCTGGTACTGCTGGTACTCGGAGATCAGATCGTTCATGTTAGACTCGGCTTCAGTAAACTCCATCTCGTCCATGCCCTCGCCCGTGTACCAATGCAAGAAGGCCTTACGGCGGAACATCGCGGTGAACTGCTCGCCGACACGCCGGAAAATCTCCTGAATCGAAGTAGAGTTGCCTACAAAAGTGGATGACATGGCCAGTCCGCGCGGGGGGATGGAGCAGAGGGCCGTCTGCACGTTGTTGGGGATCCATTCAACGAAGTACGACGAGTTGCGCGACTGAACTTGACGCATCTGGTCCTCGACCTCCTTCATGGCTACCTTGCCTCGGAAGATAGCCGAGCAGGTCAAATAACGGCCGTTGCGGAAGTCAGAGCCGGTCATCATGTTCTTCGGGTCGAAGAGTTGTTGCGTCAGCTGGGGCACCGTGACGGCCCGGAAAGAATGAGCACCCCGGCTTGTCAATGGCGCAAAGCCGACCATGAAGAAGTGTAGACGTGGAAATGGCACCTAAAAGATATCAGCCATGCGCAAAAACATCGCCAACGGACGGCTTAAGAGTAACATACCATGTTGACGGCCAGCTTGCGCAAGTCCGAGTTCAGCTGCCCGGGGAACCGGAGCGAGGTTGACACGCCCGACATGACAGCCGAAACGAGGTGATTGAGATCCCCGTACGACGGGTTCGTGAGCTTCAATGTGCGCAGGCATATATCGTAAAGGGCTTCATTATCGATGCAGAAGGTCGCATCCGAATTCTCAACCAATTGGTGGACCGATAGGGTAGCATTATACGGCTCCACGACCGTGTCGGAGACCTTCGGCGACGGGACAACGCTGAACGTGGCCATCATCCTGTCAGGGAATTCTTTTTATAGTAAGTTAACTGGCGAGTCGAGGGTTTCAGAAACCGACTTACCTTCACGAATTTTAGAAATCAGAAGCGTTCCCATGCCAGATCCAGTGCCACCACCCAGAGAATGAGTGATCTGGAAGCCTTGCAGACAGTCACAGCCCTCGGCCTCACGTCTGACTACGTCGAGCACCTGATCAACCAATTCGGCCCCCTCCGTGTAGTGACCCTTAGCCCAGTTGTTACCGGCACCCGACTGACCGAAGACAAGGTTGTCGGGGCGGAATAGCTCGCCGAAGGGCCCGGAGCGTACGGCGTCCATGGTGCCGGGCTCCAAATCAACAAGCACCGCGCGCGGAACATACTTGTTAGAAGCGGCCTAGAGCCAGGTGTTAGTAACCTCGAAGAGAAAACCAGCATTGGAAGCGAATAGAGTGCCGACCTCATTGAAGTAAACGTTGATACGATCAAGCTGCAACTCGGAGGTGCCGATATATCTGGATGGGTGTCGACGCGTCAATGCGGGCCTCGGCACGGAAAAGTTTGGAGGGGGGTGGTATTCAGGCCACTTACTTGCCGTCGTTCGCTAGTCCATGCTCGCCGGAGATGACCTGCCAAAAGGCACCGCCGATTTGGTTGCCCTGTCGCGTTATTGGTGAGCAAAGGCGCCGCGTCGGGAGGCAGCGGCGGGACGGGCACAAGCACGCACACACTGGCCAGTTTGGAGATGAACCTGACAGAAAGATTAGTGACGGTTATGAACTAGCTCGAAAAAACAGCAATCTTACGATTTCACGCATGGTCGACGAGTGACGATGTCAGTCTTTTAGATCGGGAAATGGAAGATCGGTGTTTGGGGTATTCAGACGATATGACGAAGTTCGGAGAAAAGCACGAATGCTAGGCGGAAAGACGGCGGAAGAATATAAAGTCGCCAGAGCAGCCTCTGTGCGGAGGCATGGCGTTGGGAGGACAACATGATTTGATGATTTGATCTCGCTGGTCCAGACGTGACCCCTTGCCTGCCGCACAGTGTGTACCCGGTCTACGGCAGACCTGGATACTAGAAATGGTGATTGGGTGCCATCCAGCTTGATCTGGGGCGACGATAGAACAAAAAAAAAAAAAAGCAAATACGTAACCTGGGCGAAAGCGGTGTCAGTTGAACCCTGCGATCAGGTTATACACAGGTGGTACGCCGCCCATTTCCCAACATTTGATTGATGGCCACCGAAATATGGAAAGAAACATTGATAAAACTCTACTTGATGATTGGTATACTATCCGTTCGATATCTTGGACAGCTGGGTCGCTCAAGCATGGAGGTACTCCGTACAGTTTGATATGGGACCCGTAGTTGGGTTGATCCGCGGCGTCAGCAGCAGCTTTTTTAGAGCCAGATCACAGGAGCCAGGTCAGATCGGGAATCACTTGTCCGGATGCCAGACGCTAGACTCATTATGGGCGGATATCCAATTTGTATAGAAGAGTTTCGAGTCCAATCTGCAGTGATGGGGATTCCTATCTGATTGGAATGGTCCTTCTTGGAGCGACTCAACACTCACTGGGTATCCGATGAGGGGAACCGAGTGACTCTCGAGAAGAACAGGCTCTTGCGTGGTACCGGCTTGCTGTCGATAGGCTGTCGGTCCCAATTGATGCTGCCAATGAAGATGAAATTGTACAACGGGATTTCAGGTTCTTTTGGACCGAGTCAACGCCACCGCCGCTGTGTACAAAGTATACAGTAGATATGTACACCTACTCAGTAGTCCGCCGGGTGATGATTACGGGCCCAACGAACCCCTACCATGTCCGCTATGGTGCTAGACTGACACGTCAAGCTGGTTCTTGGTTCCCTAGTGGCGCCAAGACGCCGCAAGCTCAGTCGAAAACTTCCGCCGGAAACACACGAGAAAGGGAAACTTGCATCGTGATAAGTGACGGCGGTGAGGCATGTCTACCTACCTACTACGTACGGTAATTTCGAAAGAGGCCGTCAATCGGATCGGACAACCTTTGCGACTCGAATCTTGCACTGGAGAGTACAGACCGTAGATTGTCTTCATTTTCTCGGTTGATCGTAATTGGCTGTAATTTGCTTCAATCCGCAATGGGGCTCTACCCATAGCTGCCTTTAGCTAATCTACGCTACCCATGGCGACCGAACCTGATGATCATTTCGAAAGAAGCGTGCAGACAATTACCTACCTAAACTCTAGAAACAGCTTTCTGTGAGTGAAAAAGGCGGGCTTTGTGTCGTAGACATGGGTAAGACATATGCGAGCCTTTAAATCGTAGCCCAACGACGGCCTAATGGGTTTCTGAAGCACACGTACCCAGGTAGATAGTCAGTTATTAGTAGTTGGGCGCTGGCACAGACGGGTCCCGGCCTGTACAATCTTGATCACCAGCGATCGGAATCAACTTCGCAATCTCCTAACGTCGTAGTCACACTTTCACACCCTCCACTACGCTTCGCAGAATCTTACACTCTCCTGGTACTAGAGAGTAAATACCCGTAGGTAGTGGTCATTATACCTAAGCGGCCCAGCCGACAAAAACTGCATCACTACCTAGGTATCAACCGCCAGCCAGAACAGTATCTAGATAGATGCTCCCTTGCGACGTTTCAAAGTATCTGTCCGCCGGACGTGATAACGTAATGCAGCGGTCCCAATAAATCATTACAACGGGAGTTTGGCCGAGTGGTTAAGGCGTCGTGTTTAGGTCTTGTCGGGTGAGCCCGGTGAACTTAAAATCCCGCGATGGGAAACCGCGCAGGTTCGAATCCTGCAGCTCTCAAACCTTTCTTTTTGCCCCTTCGTGATCTTGCCTATTCATCGTCGCATTTCAGTGTGAAGTAGGTAGGTATACTACCGATACCCACATTTTGCATTATCTGAGTGGGATGCCGTGTTAGAAACGATTGACTGATACATAGTTATGGGGGCGAATACTCTTTTTCATGCTTAAGTGTACGCTGAGAGGGTGGCACTACTTAGCGACGTTCAACTGCTGTGTCTGAACAATATCCAAATTTCATGCTCAAGGTCCAGAGACAGGCGCCAACAAGGCTAACACTAGGTAAACCGGCGGTCCTCTTGGACGCCTGCCTGTCTTCTGTAAGATTGAGTAAACTTTAGCTTACAATGACTTTACTCTCTACTCTCCGCGGGCAGCTCTGAACTTCATGTTCAGTTTCCTTTTTTCCCCTCTTTTCTGTTGTGAGTAGGATATCGTAATTGCGCCGTTTCTCTACATCCACGTCATAATCTCGTGGTTTAATATCGTTTCCGCTCTCTCCCTCTCGAATTTTGCTGCCAAAGGCAAACGACACTTTTGCTCTCGCACCACGCTTTAACGTCCAACGGGGACACCTCCCCATCATACCCAGCGCGTGTCAACTCGCCACCATTCAACCAACGTGTAAGTTCCTCTAGAATGATAGGGTCGTAAAGAAGCATTTTCTCGTACCATGATGGCTTGGACGGGTCTTGCGAACGCGGTGTGGAGGTCACCGCCATGGTGATGTACTTGAACAGCTCAGACTGCTGATCTGTAGGCGATAGCAGTAGAGATACATTACCCTCTTCCAACATCGTTAGATCTAATGGAGGGGGTGAAGTGAACACTGGATCCGGCGATGATACAGGTGACGGAGTGTTGTTCGCCGAGTCCGGGATTTCGATGGACGCAGAACTTGATTTTTTAGCACGCCCGCGTGACTTTTTAGGGCTTGAGGCTGAAATAACTGATTCTTTTATGAGAACGGGAGCGGTTTCATTCTTCTTAGAACGTCCACGCGACTTCGGGGGGCTTGCGACCGAACTACCTGGTTTGGATACAGGAGTGGGACTAGTCTCGGTCTTTCTGGGACGTCTGCGCGATGTTTTTGGGCTTGAGACTGACGTATCCGATTCAGCTATAGGTACGGGTGTATCCTCGTCTTTTCTCGAACGACCACGTGACCGCTTGGGGCTCGCGTTGTCCAAGCTAGTCGGCCGGGTGGCTAAAGTCTTTTCATCCTCGGTTTTCTTGGATCGGCCACGAGCGTTCGGTTTAGCAGCCGTTTGGTTGGTGATGTTGGTAGTAGACCCTTGTCGAGCTTGGGTTGGACTATGCGTAGAAATTGATAAAGATTGAATGGGGCGAGCGGGTGGTACTTGATGTTTGCTTTTCCAGCATTGATCCAGTAATGCAATCATTGCGGTGCGCTTTTTGACTGGCTTAAAACCATACGATGTTATCTGTTTGCAGAGCTGTGCGTCTGTGAACAATTCGTACTTGGGGCGCGATTCAGCACTAGTTGCGCCTACTGACCCTTCTACCTCTAAGGATGCGGAACTTGAGCTCTGTTCTGAATGACAGGATTGCAAAAGATGGGGCTCCGTCCGTAGAGATTCACCAGGCGCACTCGGGGCTAGACTCGCTGGAACCGGCGAGTCTAATAGATCGTTGATATCAACGAAACTTTCGGCATTTGGTGTAGTAGTCATACTTGGTTCTGTGGGTTTCAAATCGTGCTGCAGGTCGACGAATTCAAATCCGACCAGCTCGCCTTGTTCATCACGTGCACCAGCTTCCCATAATCGTTGGCGCAAATCATCATTACAAGGGTTCGAGTTTAAGTTGTTAGATGCACGTATTGCAGCTTGAATGTCCCTCAAGGCGGTTGGTGACTCTTCGTCGACAAGTTGACTTGACGTCCCGAAAACAAAATCTTGATTTGAAGACTGTTTTAATGCGGAACCTGGGGAAAGCAAGATTGGATCGGCTTGTGTGCCCGCTTTCTTCCTGCGTCTGGCCTTGGGCGGTTGCTTGGTTTCTTTTCCCTTGGATTTCCTTTGAGTCATTACGATCGTTTGATGCTCAACTAGTGCCTTAACCGCACCATCAGAATCGAAATATTCCAGCATTGATTCCCTGGTATTGGGGCCTGCGAGGTCAGGTTCAGCAGCAATCGGTGCAACAAAAGGAGCTGTAGCCAGCTCTGTGATCGTTCTCGTCTTCTTTCTTGGCGCAGGTTCTTTAGCTTCTACACGCTTCTGTGGCTGGAATGGCTGTTGCATGTCTTCTAACGACATTGCTTCTCGGAATTTCTCCTTCTCTTGCTTCTGACCTGTAGATATGAACTCAATGAGTTTTCGTTTCCCCAAAATCTCAGTCCCATTTTGCGGGGGTAGGCCTGGAGCAGCATCTGTGCCCTGCCTTCCATATTCCTCGTACAGGGTCTGGAATACATCCTTTGATACAGACGGCCTGTCAACTGATGAGAAGAGTTCTCGAGCATCAGAGTCGGAATCGAGAACGATGAGTTGCTTGGCTGTCGGGGGCGTCCAATCGCCTCGGCGAGGGATGGCAAGTTCTGATTCCGCCGCCGCTAGGGCTCCATCAACACTGTCTTTCTTGATAACCTCGGCCCCTTTTGTCTGTGTATCGATTTTGGGCAACGAATCCCCGTTGATTTTCGCAAAATGTCTAGACACCGTGTCACTGGTCCTCTCAGGTCGTTTCATCGGAATTGCATTCTTCGGTTTCGTTGGTGACAAAGAATGTTCATCATGTTGCGGCGAAGCTTGTTTCTTGAATTTCTGCCATGGCTTATCCGTCGGTGATGAAGACTCAATCAAGACAGCTCTCTGTTTTGAGACTTGATGATTGCGCAGATTATCAGGCGTTGACGCCCCGCACTTACGCACATTGATTTGCCTGGTTCCACGTGGCGGCGAATCGGTGACCTTCTCCGTGTCTATATCAATTTCAGGAGCCTCTCGCAGGACATCCGCGGCATTCGTGAACGTGGTGCAATCGTTGCTTGTAGGTGCTGCGGGATTTCCGGTTCTTAAGGGCGGCTTCCTAGGGCTTTTCCTCATAAATATTTCCTCGAGAGAAGGCAAGCATGGCGAAGATGAAGATAAATTGGTCGCGGCAAAGGCTCGAGACCTGGGCGGAGACGACATCAAACAGTCTATAGCAGACATGGCAAGCCGGTGGTGAAAGATGGATGCGCGCCAGGCGCAGCCATGAAAGTGGTGGGACAACAGTTTTAGTCGATAAGGAAATTCCGAGGACTCGACGTTTTGCGGATGAGAGAGGGGGGCATAAGAATCGTGCTGTCATGAGTGTGCTGTTATGAGTGTGTAGTAAACAAATGGACGGGTATGTTTAGAGTGGGAGGACGCCCACTCCCAAACAGAGCCCTACGGGAAGGAACGGAGTGGGGCGCACGCGAAACCGTCTCGACAGCACGTGACGGCGCACGTGACCTTAGCCGAGCAGAGAGTACGAAGGTACAACCCCACCAGACCCATCCAATTCATCCCACTGCTGGGTCAAAATTGCACAAATTCCTTTGCGACAACACCATCACCGCACTCTCGACCTTCCCAACCGCCAACTCACCACAACCGTCAAAATGGAGAACGACCGCGGAGAACTCGTCGATCTTTACGTGCCAGTATGCCTCAATCACCTGTATCTGCTCATCCAAGCCTCGAGGGGACGCTAACGGTAATTTTTACAGCGAAAGTGCAGCGCGACCGGCCGTCGTAAGTTTCTGCCTCTCCCCGAGCCTACGCACCGAATATTTAAAAGCGTCTTGGATCATGACAGTCCGAGCTCACATTCGCAACATGATCGACTAATCACCTCCTGCAACAGTCATCAAGGCCACAGATCACGCCAGTGTCCAAATCAGCGTTGGTCTCCAACTACAAAACCGAACCTCGGAAAATATCTAACCCAGTTATAAAGGTCGCCAAGCTTGATGACAATGGAAGACAAATCCCTGGTGAAAACCACGTGTACGTGTCTCCGAGACAGATATTCGCTCCTTGTATCGGTTGTAGGCTGACAGGAATCAAAGCTATGCCCTCAGCGGATTCGTACGCGCTATGGTAATACTTCCCCCAGATGCCAAGCTTGTGTCGTATGATAGTAATACCTGACGTTAAATAGGGCGAGGGAGATGATGCTTTCAACCGTGTTACCCAGAAGGATGGCCTCCTGAAGAACGTTTGGAGCCCCAACCGATAAAGGATCTCTTGGTGGTATGCCGCTCTACAATTTCGGGTCTTGCGCGATTGCTAACCGTCGGCTACGTAGGGAATGGCGTTCATGGGGAATTCGAGGTTAGGTCGACATGGCAAGACACTTCATATTCGCAGCATAGCCGATAAAGAAATACGGCCGTCCTAATACGACTCCGAATACGAAGACAATGCGAACAAATCATGCCCCAAAGCCCCGATACTTGAGATGTGTACTCTGCCCTCCTTGGTGACGACTTCCTTTCCCGGCTGGCTAAGTCTTCTCGCATCCACCTCGAGTGAATCTATGGGCGAGGAGTCTGGGGCTACGTGGATAGTCTCCGTGCCGGAGATCAACTGGCGGCCTTGAAAAAGCTGTGACGCGCAAGCCGTCCGTCATGGCACAGATACGGGTCGTACATCTAGATCAAGACTGTTCTTATCCCGCAATTATTTGGTCTTGGTTACGCTTGTGCTAGTCTCGCCTTTACGGGGCGGATGATTGTGCCTTGGGAAACTATGAGCTCTGTTGACTGGTTAATTTGCATGTCGTTACTAACCCTCCAAGTGGATCTGACAGGGGATTACACTCTGCGAACTCTAGACGACCACCTTGCCAACTGTCGGATCTTGCCCGTCACTTGATTGAAGGCTGCTGTAGGTACACGGGTAGAGTTGTTCATTGACTTGACCAATAATGATTCGTTCCGAGACAGCTGGGTCACATTATTTGCATAACATCGTAAATTGTATCTATGCCGTTCAAATACAATT